ACATGTTTATTATTTTTATTATATTTAAAAGGAATTCTTGAAATGTCTAAAACTTAGTGTTTATTTGATAAAATTTCTCTAAAGTTTTATCAACTTTTCAAATCGGCCAAACTTCAATTTTAATCACTCTCTTCATGGAAAACTTTTATTAAACCAAATATTTGATCAATTTTTATCAAGATTTCACAGTGCTTCGATGGATAAAAGTTGAGAGTTATGATTGACTCAGGAGTGCATACTCACAAGGTGCGAAACTGGGGAGGTATTTTGTCACCCTTGTCCATTCCAAACAATATTTTCTCCTTTCAACAAAACCAATAAATTAATTTATACCGAGTTTTTATGCCTTTTTTTTTTGTTTTTATTTTAAAGTTAGTCCACATTCACATTATTCTCAAGTCCATGTTTGCAATTAAAAGCACTATGACATATAAAGACTGGAATTCAAATTTTTACTTGTTCGAATTCTCAATTCAGGCAATGGGCCGAGCTAAAATTTAATTTTCACATATTTTTCATTTTCATAATATTTTCCATTTTACCCTTCAACATTTGTAGTACTTTCAAAATTATTATTGAAACTATATGCCTTTTACTCTTTTTTCTTATTTCCTAAAAGAAATATTGTTATAAATTAATTAAGTTCATTTGAAAATATTGAGTAAAATATAGTTTTGTTCTTCCTTCTTTCTTGTTATATAATTTTAATTTGTTTATAAATATTTATACATTTAGCCTCTGTTAGGTGTGCCTTAAAATTTTACGAAAAGAATCTTAATCAACATGAAGGCCATGCCTGACTGTCTTTTCATCTCCAAAAGATTAAACTCCTTTCACCTTGCTGGCAATGCCTTTTATGCTCCTCGTTCTACATTGTATAACTTTCAACCTTTGGGGATAGTTTATCTCTTCCTGTTAGCTTGTTCAACTAGTCTTTCTGGGATAATTTTATTCGTAGTTGGACCTTAAATTTTGTGTCCAAGCCACATGACCTTCGAATTTTTCTAATTTCGAGCGTGTTTTGTGGATATTATTTTGGAAGAATGTATTTTGGAATAGTAGATTGATGGAGAATATGTGGACTGTGGTTGAAAAAGAAGGAAAAGTTATTGATGTGATGAAAAATATTATTTTATTGAAGAATGTGTAGTTAAAAATGAATAGAAGAATGAGAATGAAAATTTTAATGTGTACCAAACACATGTTCTAGTGAAATAAACAGGACCCTATTTGTTTCCTCTTACGAGTTTTCTTAGACTGCCCAATGGAGATGTAATGCTGTTTGCGAACAGCATCACTAGAAACAGAAACAAAAACAAAAATTCGGAGGTAAAGTAACGAGAGATACACTTCGAAGTTCAAGCACACAGTGACGTGTATTGCAGTTCCAATTTCGAAAACCATGGTATTGTTCGACTAAAAAGCAATTCTTGACAGAGTATGTCAATCGAGAACAACACAATATGCCACCAAAATAACACGTAGATAGGAAATCCGACATGTATCAATACATCATTGACAACAAATCACCAGTTACAAACTTAGTTATCTGAGGACTTCAATGCATCCAAAACCGCCTGTTACTCAGAGTCTTTCTCACAGCACTCCCATTCCCTTTAGGATTCTCAAATGCTTCACCTCCACTATAATTCCCATTATTTTCCCCCCAAATCTTTTTCGACAATTCATAAACTTTTTGCTCGTGGGCCTTCGCTAAAGTCCTTTTCTTACCCTGCCTCTCCTTACTCTTATTTTTATCGTACTTTTTCTTCAGCCTCCTAATTTTATCTTGCAGCTGAACCTTGGTAACATCCACATTCAAATTTTTCTTAATGAAATCACGAAATGTATTCAAATCAGCAGCTGGATCAGATTTTTTCTTCACCACGTAATCAGTCATCCCTTTAAGAATTACAATTTCATCATCCTCACTCCATAGCCTCTGAAATAGCTTTTCCTTCATATCATCATTAGTAACACTCCACTTTTTCTCTGAAATCACGGGCTCTGGTTTCGGCTTCAATCGCTTCGTATCCTTCACCTCACTCGCTTTCTCCTCTGCAGGAGCACGTTTTGACCCTGTTGACATTACCAGCAATCCCGGGCCAGTAGCATTGGGCTCGGATATGGGCTTTCTGAAGTTGGATTTTTGTGAGCCAACCATTGGCTTGGACGCCGAGGGCTTGACATTTGGGTCAGACCGGTCGGATTCGGATTCGGATTCATCCTCTTCTTCAGAAGACGAAACCATTGGAGGTTTTGAGGGCCGATATTGGGGTTTCTTAGGGGCGGGTATATACGATGGCAATTTGTTAACTTGAGCCGCGGTAGGTTCGGGTTCGGGTTCTACGGGTTTCTTTTCAGCCATTTTGAGGGGGCATTTTCCAAACTAGCCGGGTATATTAGATCCATTTAGGTTTTTGTGAAAATGTCTATTTTACCCTTAATGATATATAGTTTGTTTATTGCAATAGTTTTGACAATTGTAATGTTATATTTCTATATTTTCAATT